TGTCTGAAGGAGCCGCGATCAGCCACCGGGTCCCAGGAAACACGGGGAGCTGACATGGTGGGGCGGTGACGACTCAGCGGCAAAGAGGAATGAACCACCGCCCCGCCTGGCCCCCACGGACGCAGGATGCTTCGCCTGCAGGGCCGTGACGAGGCGGGACAGCAGGCCTGACTCAGAGCACCCATCCTGGGGCGCCCTGGACTCCCGGGGTGGGGGGCAGCTCCCTTCCTTGGAACGAGGCAGACAGGGCTACACGTCCTGACCGCACGGCCACGGCCACCGGCCCGCCGGGACGAGGGAGGCACACACAGACCACAGCTCTGCAGAGACCCCCGTCCTGTGGCCCGCACTCCTGGCCCCTTACTCACAGCTTCCAGACCGTGGGGTCTACGCTGAAGCCTGGCGACCCCACCCTGGGGCCAGCCGCTGGAAGCAGTGCTCCTCCTTCAGGGAACTGGCCGTGGCTCTGGGCGCTCTGGCTGCTGGAATCTGCCAGCCGCCCCGGACTCCCAACCTGACCATGTGCCTGGTGTGGCCACTTTGGCTGGACCCAGGTCCTGATCGGCCAGTTACAACGAGAAACAAAGAACTCTGCTTCCTCCTGCACAACATGGAGCGCTTCACATGGTCCTCCTGGTTTATTCTGAGCTGGGCTCTGCTCGAGTCAAACACTGATAAGCAGATGGCTTCTCACAGGGCAGGCTTCCAGCCTCTGCCTCTGGCCGGAGGAAGCCCGCAGCTGGGCCAGTGCAGGGGCCGGCAGGGCGCGTGGAGGCGGGACCCGGGCACACGGGGGGCCTGACGCTAGTGGCTTTGCTCCTAGAGACGCTCTGCCAGGAGACAGAGGCTGTCGGTCATGACCCCTCCTGGAGCGGGAACACCCAGACCCAGCGTGGTCCCAGCCATGCTCCCACTGAGGGTTTTCTGCGTGGGATGAAGCCAGGAGACGCGGCTGCCCAGCAGGGCGCCCCTTCCCGCCCGGGGAGTTCGGCTTCTCGCTCTGAGGTTTTGGATCTGCACAACGTTTAGGACGCGACGCCCACCGTGTTCTGGGTCCACGGGTGCTACCGCGTGTGCCGGGCGGAAGCGTGGATGAGAACACACGTCCCCGGGGCTCTGTCCGCAGGAAGGACGCTCCTCCCAGGGCTGCAGGACGGAGGCCGGGGGAGGGGACAAGGGGGACCGCGGCCGTGAACCGCCTCCTCAGACAGCACGCACGTCAGAACCTCTAAGATGCGCCTTAAAGGCAAGACGACCCCAAAGCAGCCCTTATGCTGGAAGTGGATGGGAGGCCAGGGAGAGGGCGAGGGTGCCGTTAATCCAGAGACAATGTTAACCCAGAGACTATCCCCGCCACTTGGACCGTCCCTGTGAGGAGGCCAGGGTCAGTGAGAGGAGGAGGCCGGGGTCAGTGAGAGGAGGAGGAGGCCGGGGTCACCAGGAGGAGGAGGCCGGGGTCAGTGAGAGGAGGAGGAGGAGGCCGGGGTCAGTGAGAGGAGGAGGAGGCCGGGGTCACCGGGAGGAGGAGGCCGGGGTCAGTGAGAGAAGGAGGAGGCCGGGGTCACCAGGAGGAGGAGGCAGGGGTCACCAGGAGGAGGAGGCAGCGGTCAGTGAGAGGAGGAGGCCGGGGTCAGTGAGAGGAGGAGGAGGCAGGGGTCAGTGAGAAAAGGAGGAGGCCGGGGTCAGTGAGAGGAGGAGGAGGCCGGGGTCACCGGGAGGAGGAGGCCGGGGTCAGTGAGAGGAGGAGGAGGCCGGGGTCACCGGGAGGAGGAGGCCGGGGTCAGTGAGAGGAGGAGGAGGCCGGGGTCACCGGGAGGAGGAGGCCGGGGTCAGTGAGAGGAGGAGGAGGCCGGGGTCACCGGGAGGAGGAGGCCGGGGTCACCGGGAGGAGGAGGAGGCCGGGGTCAGCGGGAGGAGGAGGCTGGGTTAGCGAGATCCCTTCAACGCCCCATGAGCCCTCAGAGCGTGGTGGCTCTCAGGACCTCCCTACTGGGAAGCCGACCTCCTGGGCTCCCCGAGGACAAGGGGCCTCTCCCAGGAGCCCCGACCCGGTCCTGCTTACGGCCCGCACGCCGCAGTGCTGAACTGTTATGCAAAATGATGTTTTGCACTACTTTGAGCTCACACAGTTAAAGGTGATGAACAGTTGTGAATTTTCTCTGTTGACTACTGAAAAAACAGGAGTAACTAACAGATGAAAAGGGCAGGAACAGAACTTTCTGAAGTTACGAACGTCCTCAAGTAAAACTCCCTGGGCCAGCTGCCTGCCTGATGACGGATCTGGAAATGAAGTTCATTGGCCACTGGGGGCCCGGGAGGTTGGAGGTACTGACCATCATCCATTTTCTTACAGTGGGGTTACAATGAAACCTTGTTTGTAGTTCTGCAGAAGTAACAGAGCTGTGAGCACAATTTAAAAATAAATGTCATCTCTTGCCAACTGGAAATGAACAGAAGGCGGAGACAACTCACGTGAGCCCCCAGCACGCCATCCCCATCGGCTGTGCTCCACTGTGTCAATAAATCTCCCCCTGGGTGTTTGAGCAGTGTTTAATCATAAACGGGTTTGAACGCACTCAGGAGCATAAACAGAACTAAACATCACCTGTCTAGGAGAGGGGCAGGTCAGCGAGGCGGGAGGACAGAAAACCCCGCTGTGAAGGGAGAAGCCGGGTAGCCAGCACACTTAAACCCAGCGCAGACAGGACCATCTTCAAGATGACGAGAAGGAGCCCAGAGCTCACGGAGCGGCGGGGTGCTTGTCAGCGGCCAGCACTCCTTCCAAGGATGTGTGAGCGGAACAGGCGGGTCTCATCCCCGACCGCAAATGGCCGGCCGGACGCTGGCCTGTCTCGTCCACCGCGGGTGAGGCTGTCCTGCACACGCGGGCCAGGTGGGCTGAGATGCCCCCGCGAAGGCCAGCCCCTGCCGCAGAGGGCACCCCGTCATCAGTCTGGGTGACTCAGTCCTTCACACGAGCAGACCCGGCTCACAGGACCCTCACGGCTCCACGCAAAGCAGGCGCACTCCCCAGTGAGCACCCAGCGCTGCAGGACCGCACCCGGCTCCCACCCTCCCGGCCTGTCTCACGCGTGAGGGGGGCGAGGAAGGAATAAGCATGAACGAGCCGCCTCAAACTTCTCAGCCCTGCTGGAGAACTCCCGAGGCCCCGTCGCTGCCGCCCGACCTCCCTCCTGAAGCGCCCCAGGCTCTGGCCTCGGGAGCCCGACGGCAGTCTCTCTACCGCGTCACCCGGGAGCCGCTGCGTTTGAGCCGCGGGCGTGTTTGTTCCAACACCCTGGCCCCCTGACTGCTACGGCGCACCCGTCAGCCCCGGGCAGGCTCAGCCCTGCCTTCAGCGGAGCGGCCCGGTGCGGAGGGCGGGAGCTCACTGCCCGCGCGGGATTTACACTGGACTCGCATGAACCCTGTCTTAGGCGTGACATCCCGGGAAAGCCTGTTTTTGGAGAGACAGCGGCAGTGCTGGCGGAGGGCCAGGAGACGTGCGCTCCGGTCCCAGCGTGGCCACCTGTCCCCGACGCGGCGGTCAGGCCTGAGGTGCCCGCTCAGTGCTCTCTGGGCCCTTCTGAGCCGGGGACACTCCAGCTGCTCCAAGGGCGAGGGCCGTGGCCACGCAGCAGCGGCGTCGGGCTCGTCCCGACACGCACACGCCCCGCTACCTCCAGGAGGAGCTACGTGGANGACCTCCCAACTCCTCCGGGGACAAAACTAAGGACTGAACACATCTGACACTAAAACGCCATTAAAAAAACCCCTGCTGCTGAGGCAGCCCACCACCACGCAGCTCACTGTATCTCCCGGGCCTGCCGGGCCCACCCCCTGCTGGCCCGTCCCCACCCGCAGGTGAGCGGCTGGCATCACGGGGCGGTGGGCACTGCTCGGATGCTCAGGATGACGCTGGGCCCGGCAATCCAAACGCGAAGGCGGAAAATCAGTTCCCTTTTCCCAGCACGGAATCCTGAAACTTTACCCCCTGCACGATGTCTTGCAGGCCACCCGGGGGCCGCCACGAAAAGCAACAGCTGCTGCGGGTGTGGTGGACGCGGGTGAGGCCTGCGTGGTTCCCGGGGCCCTGGGCAGGGCCATCTGGGTCCACCAGGCGTCCACTGACAGGGGAGGCTCGGCAAGGGCCCCAAGGAGACGGCCTGTGAGCTGGGCAATGTGGCGGACGTGACGGAAGGGAGTGGGCAGCGGGCCCAGCACAGGGCCCCCCGAGCGGGAAGCACCCTGCAGGGCAGAGGCGGGGGCTGTCCGGGTGGGGGGGCCGCACGTGCACCAACAGCGTGGACGACGCGTCCTGGGGACACGGCTGCCCAGCGCCCACCCGGAGCCCACGGGTCGCCAGCCTCTGTCCTGGGAGCAGCAGCTCACTGCCACCTTCACCCCCAAGCCCCCTGGGACGGGGCAGTCGGGGGGGGCCGGGGTCCACCCCCAGCTGCTGCAGCTTCACCAGATGTCCAGGAGGAACCCCTCCAGTCACACACAGGTAGAAGCTGACACCACTTGAGCCAAGCACGTGTCTCTGTGACTCCGCTTTGCTGCACGTTGATGGCCTCTTTCCCATCCGTCGAGTGAAATTCCGTGCTAACCTGAGAGGATCACTTGTGATAATCTGAGGTCAGCTTAGATGTTAACCCTTCCAACCCTTTCCAAAAGAGTGCTCTTTCTCTGCTGACTGTGGGCCACTGACAGACAGAAGCTGGAGCCCAGGAGGGAGGCGGCGTCTGTTCGCAAAGCAGCGGGGCTGTTTGGAGACCCTGAGCCAGCCCGGAGAAAACCACACCGGGAAGAGGCCTCGGGCCTGTCCCAGGGCTCACCCCTGACGCCCCGGGATTGGAGGAGAGCCACCTGCATCCCCGCGGCGGTCCAGCTCTCCAAGCCCCGCGCGGTGCTGGCGGGCTGAGTGCGCGCACGCGCATAGCGAGGTGGGGGGACTGGCGGACCGTCCCCTTCACGGCCCGCCAACCCCCGCGGGCCGCTCCAGGACCCCCGCCCCCCGCCAGCCGGGGCCACGTCTCCGCTCAGACGTTAGCACCGAGGAGGAGAAACGACCCTTCTGGGGAAACTGGGTCATACAACAGGCTAATGACGCCGAGTGAGTGCGCGGGAGAAGCCTGTGTTCAGCCATGCGGGGATAAACTAAGCCGGTTTAATTGTTATGTAAATTACAGCCTCAGCCCCATCAGTTTATCCTGGATGGCCTATCCTCAGAACCGTTTCCTCTGAAATAAAGACGGAGCCGGTCGCCCTTCAGGGCTCCGTACCCACCCTCCCGACGGGGCCAGCCCCTCTGGGTCTCCAGGGGCCCCGCCCTCCCCTCTGCTGTCTGGGCAGCACCTGCCTTCCCGGGAAGGTGGTCTCTCCCTGCCGCTGGAGGCGGCCTCTCCACCCGGGGGCACCGCCCTGGTGTCTGCAAGCTGGGCCACGCAGCATCTCGGCTCCACGGGGACAAAGGCAGGGGACCCTCAGTTTTACTTTTCACTTTTACAGAGAAAACGCAATGGAGTTCAGTTAAGGTATAACCAGCTAAGTTACTTGTATTTTTGATGACCTCTGTTATTTAATCAGTTTCAGTAAAATTATCTGTAGACAGACCCTGCAAGAAGTGCTCAGGACAGCGGGTCCTGTCTGTGTGGGGCGGTGCCCCTGCAGGCGAAGCAAGGATCAACCTTGACCTCTCGGTCGGCAGGATTTACAGCATTTACGGCCTGGGCAACGGCCCCTCCCCCAAAGGCTTCCAACACTCCACCCGGAGATGAGTCCCCCACCAGGCCCATCAGGGCCTCGTCCCTCGCTCACGTTTCCCCACGCTGAAAACAACCTAGGAAGAGGAGAAATGACTGCGTTTTGGTTACCATGAGCCTCATCTCATCTGGTCGCTAGGAACTGGGGCCCTTGGGGGTGGAGGAGCAGGCAGTCCCACCCCTGACTGGTCCCAGCCACAGGGGACCAGGTCCAGAGGCCAGACTCTGCCGGACCGTCCCTTCTGTTTAGAGACCAACTCCCGGCTCAGGGCCCTAACCTACTCAGCCACACAGGCAACATAAAAAAGGTGCTTTAGAGCCCCTGGCTAGACGGATTCCAATTCCCCAGCAGCAGTGAAATTGCAAATGTGCAGTTTCAGCAGAGTCCCTGCTCTAGCATCTCTCTTTTTTAAAAGGAAACAGGAGAACACTCTGAATATGCCACAGCGGCCCCCTCTGCGGGGGGCAGCTGTCCGGGGCTCTTCTCCTCACATCTCTGCGTTTTCCAAAGTTTGTATGAGCGCAGGTTGCGTATGTTAACTCCAAAAAGTTTGAAATACTAAAGGCTGCATAGATACATGACATTAAGCTAACGTGTACTTTTTTTTTTGGTCTTTCTTTTAAAAACTGACTCTTCCAGAAAAGAAGTGACACTGAAGAATTTTGACTTTTAAGAAAACCAGATAATGCAGGCTGAGAAACTCCAGTAAGCTTGAGAATTCAAGACTTTCAACTCCTCTGCTCTGGTGAGGATTAACTACCGCATCAGTCATGGAGCCCTCTGGACAGACAAGTTCTCCAAAGAGAGAGACCCTCATCGGTGCCTTTAAAAAAGTGACCAGCTTTAACAATTTTTACCCATTTTTAGAAATAGTTGTTAAAAACACATCAAACTCCCTTGGCTGCTTAAATGACAGCGAAAAAAAATGAAATTACACTTCTGAAAATGATCAACGGTGAAGGCTGAGAAGCTGATGACCACAAGGGGCTGTGGCGCTTGCCTCATAGCTCAGGTGGTCAAGAATCCGCTTGCAAGGCAGGAGACCCCAGTTCCATTCCTGGGTTGGGAAGATCCCCTGGAGAAGGGAAAGGCTGCCCGCTCCTATATTCTGACCTGGATGGGGATGGGGGAGGACAGGGCCCGCCCGGGTCAGCCTGCTGATGGGTGAACGGGGCGGCTGCCTGTCAGGCCAGGACTATTTCAAGGGTGGTTCCAAGCCCTGAGGCCCTCCCCACCCAGCTCTCCTCCGGGGTGTGCTGAGGGTCAGCAGGCCAGCAGGGAACAGGCCCAGATACACCCCCACAAACTGCTGCAGAAACGCTTCCATGCACGGACCTCACCCTGAGGACTTCCAGGTCAGTGAGGCAGCCGCACACACGTGTATCCCACGGGAAGTGCACAGTGCGCAGTGCTGGCCCACCCGGCCCCAGGGCAGCACCACGGGCGGCCACGGGCGCGCCAGGCAGGGGACAGCAGGAGGGGTGGGCGCGCGGCCAGTGAAGCGGGCGGGGCCATGGAGCCGGGCGTCCGTGGGGACGAGTCCACGTGGAACTCTGCAGGTGGGGGGGTGCGGGCTGCAGACAGCGCGGATGTGCTGACGCCCCGAGCTGACGCTCAGAGATGCTGAGGGTGGCCAGCCCGGGGTCGCCTGGACTCGTCACCCTTGGAGAGCGTGGCAGAGGACTCAGCAGCTGACGTGGGCGACGAGCAGCCGGATAGGACGGGAATTCGAAGGTCTCGGGCCTGAGAGGCCACTGGGTGTGGGCAGGGGACGTGGGGGTGACCTTCCAGGTTCCGTTCACGTCCAGCTTGGAGAGGGCCCCTGGGGCCCCCAGATGGGACGAGGGGCAGGCAGGGATGCCCGGCTGAGGCCGGGGAGCACGCGGGGGCTGAGTGCAGGCGCAGCCGGGACAGGGGGAGGAAGGTGGGGCCGGGGGCCGGGAAGGGCAGTGGTCAGGTCTCAGGGCCGTGAAGACAGGGTCGGCCGTGCACCCGACCATTTCGCCCGTGAGGCACTCCTTCTGCAGCCGTGGAAACACACCGACGGTAAGACCCCACTCATGTAAGTCAGTCCCCTCCCCACACACACACAACCGCACAAGTGTCACCTGGAGACGGCTCTGGGTCGGGAAGGTATCACACAAAGGACCACAGTCAAACTCCTAAGGGTCTCGGGAACTCAGAGGACCCCAGAGTCACCTGTGGCCTGTCATTTCTCTTGGGGGAAGAAAGAAAAGACATGACATGNGTCCCCTCCCCACACACACACAACCGCACAAGTGTCACCTGGAGACGGCTCTGGGTCGGGAAGGTATCACACAAAGGACCACAGTCAAACTCCTAAGGGTCTCGGGAACTCAGAGGACCCCAGAGTCACCTGTGGCCTGTCATTTCTCTTGGGGGAAGAAAGAAAAGACATGACATGAACAGGGACACGTTACACTGTCCTCTGCACCTTCCTCAGTACATACGAGTTACTTCATCAGTTCTGGGCTTCCGCCTCCAAGCCACAGCTTTTCCTTTGCAAAGTGCCCTGCGCCCTCGTTTGTGGCCGACAGACGCGGTGATGGTCGGACACATGCGAGGCTGGCGTGAGACCAGAGAGCCCGCCCGGCCGCTTCTCAACGTCCTGCCCGGGGTGACCCAGCCGCTGCCCCTGCCAAGCCAGCTCCCATCACTAAGAGTGAATTAAAACACTGTTATAGAAGGGGTAACTGTGGCTGGATTCGAAATTACTGTTTTATTCCAATACTGAATCTCAGAGATTACTAATCACAGGAACACCAGTCTATTTGGTGGGAGAGCCCGACAGCACAAAACCCTAATGGCCACATGGCCCCTCGAGAAGGCCCACGCGGTGTGTGCGCGGCGCCCAGAAAGGGCACGCGGCCCGGGCCAGCGCTCCAGCCAGAGACACCTCCCCAGAACCCGAGCAGGACACCGTCAAATCAGACAGACCGACTGAAAATCGAGTACCTCCGACACAGTGACTCCTGTTTTCTTTTAAGAGCATCAAGGTCAGTGGAGACGGGGCCTGGGGCGCAGCCTCCAGCCTGGACCCAGCCTGGCCGGTGACGGAACCAGGAAGGGGGCCGCCGGAAAACAGGTTCTGTGACGCTGCCCGGACTCAGGGCCAGACCTGGCGGTGGACACATGCTTACTCTGGGGAAATACACACTGCAGAGCGAAGGAACAGGGCCCCCTTCCCCTACCTGTGAGCTCTGACCTTTAGAAAACAACCCGGGGGAAAAGTCCCCATCACATTACCCATCCCCCAGACAAGTCCATAAACACCCGGGATTAAACGTGACAAGGAGCGTGGGGCTCCTAGTGAAGAGGACCAGCAGGTGCCGGCTGTGATGCTGGCGGCAGCATACCGTCTGCGCCGCGTGCTCTCAGTCTGGACCCCGCGGCCCTGGCAGGCGGACACGGGGGCGTGGCCGAGCGCCAAGAAAACCTGACCAACAGGAGTCTGGGGAAGAGGCCTGGGTACAAGCCCATCAAAGGGCCCCACACGACTCCCGCAGGCCTGGTGCAGACTGAGCCGATGAAGGGGTGGGGACGAGGGGACGTGACACTGGACGGTGCCTGCCTGGGTCCTGGCCTGGCCACTCGAAGAGTTTTCTGACTGCTGATCGGAAACAACTGCTTTGGACTTCCTGTAAGATGTTGGAACGGACCAGTCCAGCCACCCGCAGGCCACACAAGGTCAGGTACACAGATCCGCTCCACAGATGTGGAGTGTCCCAGGGGCCACACATGTGAGTGCCACCCTCAAGGAACCTCCAGATCCTCAAAAGGGTCACACGGACCACAGGGGCGAGGACCAGCATCCACTCAGCATGTGACCGGCCTGGGAAGTCCTGCTGGCTCAACACACAGGCCCCTCACAGGCACACAGACCAGAGCCACCCAGTCCAAGCAGGTGTCCACTCCAACTCTGGACAGGCACTTACCTGCTCAGCAAGGAGGGAAATTATGCAAGGACAGAAACCCAAACACGAGCCTCAAGGAGCTGGACTCGCAGGGGATCTGTCCGTAATCAACGCACCGTAAATGCAGGGCTACGAAGGGCCAGGGAGAGGGTTTTCACTGTTAATTTCCTGCAAAGCTGCAAATTTGCCTTCGTCTGTTACACCCACAGGAGTCATGTCTCAGATCCCCTGACTTTCTTCCTCTGACTTCAAGAACTGAAGCAATGAAGGGAAACACAGAAGCCGTCCATCTGGACTTAGCTTTGGTCCAGGGCAGCAGACATTGAAGGGGGTCCTCTTCTGCGGAAGGACCACTCGCCCTGCACACGACCTGACCCCACGCTCTGGATCAGGCCTTCCCACCCCCACACCTCCAGGTACACGGCAGAAGCAAGACGTGTGCCTCAGAGGCCAGTGGAGTAAACTGAGGCGGCAGCTGCGCCCTGGGGCCTGGGCACCCACAGACCTGCCACCTCCCCAAGGCCGCCTGGGAACAGCCCCACACCCGGCCAGGACGGATGTGAGAGCTGTACCACAAAGAAGGCTGAGCACCAGAGAACTGATGTTTTTGAGCTGTTGTGTTGGAGAAGACTCTTGAGAGTCCCTTGGACAGCAAGGAGATCCAACCAGTCCATCCTAAAGGAAATCAGTCCTGACTATTCACTGGAAGGACTGATGCTGAAGCTGAAACCCCAATACTTTGGCCCCCTGATGTGAAGAGCCAACTCACTAGGAAAAGCCCTGATGCTGAGAAAGATTGAAGGCGGGAGGAGAAGGGGATGACAAGGGATGAGATGGTTGGATGGCATCACCAACTCAATGGACATGAGTTTGAGTAAGCTCTGGGAGATGGTGAAGGACAGGAAGCCTGGCATACTGCCGTCCACGGGGTCACAAGGAGTTGGACATGACTTATCAACTGAATGACAGCAAAAACTGAAAAGCAAAATAAAAATTAAAATTCAGGGGCTTTTAGTGGTTATTCAGTGGTTGGGGCCCCCTGAGTCCACTACAGGGACTCTGGGTTTCACTCTTGGTTGGGAAACTAAGATCCCCCATGCCACACAAAACAGCCAAAAAAAAAAAAGAAAAAATCAGCTCTCTGGTCACATGAGCCACATCTCAAGTGCCAGCAGCATGCAGGACCCGGCAGTCCTGCTGGGCACTTCTTCTGCTGTAGTGTTCCAGATGCCAGGAGATCCCTGCCCGGCCACCCGGGGACAGGCCTGGACACTCTGCTCACAGCGCCACACCAGGGAAGGACTGAACTGCTGAGAAAGCCCAACAGTCGGTCCAGCCACCCTGCGGGCTGGGTGCTGCAGGCGGCAGGCGTCCCTGGTCCACAGGGGGTCCAACCCAGCGGGGCACTCTGAGCGAAGGTGTTTACCTCCAGCCGCAATGAGTCACTCTTCCCAGTGTGGGGCACGTAACTGCCGAGCAGACCAGACATTTACGTTCCCTCGGGGGGTGGGGGGGGGTGGGCACAAGCTTCCACCAGGCCCTCCTCCTCTTCACGCTGGCCCTGGGCTCCAGCCGGTCTGCTGCCAGCCGCTCCGTCATCAGAAGCATCAGGCTTCATTCTGACATCCTTTCTACGTGGGCTTGGGAGCGTCACTAAGTTTACAGGTCACCTTTCACTAACGCTCCGGCTGAGGCTTCCTGGTAACTCACAGGAGGCTCCCTAACCTCCTCTGTAAACTGCATCCAAACCAGACATGGGGGTGGGGAGGGGGCACGGGATTTCTGGGCAGGCTTTCCAGGACCCACGCCTGGCTCCCTGCAGCCACCCCCTAATGCAACACTGCGGGTCCCAGCCGATGGCACGCTCGCCTCATCAGGTCAGCACCTAGACTGGCCCCTCACCCAGAACATCTGTGACTCAGAGAAAGGTGACGATGTGGGGCGGGGGGGGCGGTCCCAG